GCTGCTTCCCCCATCCGGCTCTTTCTCTCTCCTTTTTTTTTTTGCTCCCTCATCTCATCTAATTTTATGGAGAAGCAGGCAAGAAGGCATATGGAGCCAGGCCCTTTAGGGAGAGTGGGAGTGCAATTAAAATTTCGAATTGCCTGATTTTTAAATCGTAATTTGAAGCCTTGATGTTGAATTCCAACACATAGCAGATCAATCTAATTACTTTTCGATCGTAAACTTAACATTTTTTACGTTTCTTATTATAATTCAGACTCACGCCCTTTTTCGTTTCGGAATAATAATGGTAATAATTCTTAGGGCTGCCCACGAATCACAAGGGTTCGTCGGTTACGTTAACAGCAAGAGGGAAAAAATATGAGAAAAAAAGCTCTTTATCGGCACTCTTCACGGACCAAGGGACCTTTCATGCGAAACGGCTTCGTTTTTTATGATAGTTTTCAATAAATGTATATATTTTGTCATGTTTTTCTTCACACTGCGTGGACACACATCAAATTTCGAGGTCGTTTCCCCCATTTTAAAAGTCCCCAGATGGCCTCCTTTCTTTCCTTTTTCCTCCCCCCTAAGCCACGTAATGTTACCTAATGATTACATGGTCCCCGTTTCCTGTCCTTTTTTCCTAAAAAAAAAATCGGCCCATTATCGATGGGGATCGGCGGGGTTCTCGCGTTAAATAGTGCCCACTCACTGCCTGGCATTAAATCGCATGATCGTCTATTGAAAGAGAGCAACTCGGGTGACAACCCTGCCTCTTTTCTCTTTTCAACCTTCCATGCAAATGCAGCAGGGAAAAAAAATCCCCCGAAGCTACATTACACGGCACTTTTCATTAGCCAAAAAAAGAAAAAAATTTTCTCATCTCTCCTCGTCATCCTTCAATCATAGTTCCGTGAAGCAGAAGCGAATCTCATCAAAGCCATGCCCAGCGATTTTTTCTATTTTTTTCTTCAATCCATTGAACTCTTTTAAATTTTTTATTTTCCTGCTCAAAGTTTTTTACTACTCCATTTTTTTTACCCGTCATGCCCCGCTTTTGACTTTCATGACTCGAGGACGCGTAAGTAATTCCTGATGAGGTCGGCTGGTCCTTTTAATAACTTGTTTTTCCTTCACGTTGAGTCAGAAAGAGAGAGATAAATGTCGTGGCGATCAGAGCGGAAAGCCGTTTCATAAGGTTCGTCTCTCGGCCATAGTTCCTCTCCTACCGCGGCTTCCTCTCCCTAGTAGGTATAATTATGCCTCCATTAGGTTTCCTCTGCAACGATTCCCATCGTCACGTCCCAACGGTTTAAATCCCACTCGCCTAAGATGATCAGAAAGTCGATTCATACTTTTACAGTCGACACATCAGTCCCTAATCTAATTTCATTTCACTATGAGAATCCATGGGGATCCCATCTTCCCAGTCCAATCGCACAGAAAAATGCAAAGAAAACAGCATGAACTCCAAGCTCGAAAGGGAACTAGGGAGTGAGTTCATCTAGTGCATGTCACCCGAGACTTTTCCCCTCCCTCTTCTCTCTTTTGCACAGGTCAATGAATCTGTGTGGAATTCCATGGTTTGCGGGGCCCAGGTGTGTTGACTGATTCCTCAAATGTGCATTGGAGTGGGGGCACGCTCCTACATTTCCTGCGGGCCGGGGCACCTAGGGTAACTTTCAAATTGCCTTTCAAAGAGCTCTGCATATGGCCCCAGGAAGAAGGGAAGAAAAAAAAAATATTCATGGACTCGTGGAGGTGGATTTTTCACGGGGTAAGGATCCCTTGAAAGTGGACATGGAACGCTTGGAGAATGGAGCTTACTGCTTGCAGGTGTTTCTAAAAGGCATGAATACCCAGAGGCTAGTATCACCAGTCCTACTGTTTCTTTGCATCCATTCCAGTTCTTTCCTCCCGTCCTCAACCAGATCAGAGCGTAGAAGAAAGGAAAGTGTCACGAACCCGGGATCTGTCTTCCCAACCACGTTCTTCCTTCAGTTGGCACGTGCACAACTCACATGAGACAGAATCCGCAGATGCCTTCACATCCCTCATATGGCTTGAAACTCGCTGGCTCGTTTCAGATAACGAGTCTGTTTTCTAGGCTTCCCACCATTACTATCGAGGATCAGTTGCAGGGATTCACTCGGGAGCGATGCCCATAGCAGAGCAACAACGTACTCATCTCGTTTCCCCCCCTGCTCCACCCACCGGTTTCCGTGTGCGTAATACCAGTACTGAGGTACATAACAGACCCAGACAAAGAATTCTCTCGTATGCAAAACGGGAGGAAGTCTCAGAATCTGAGAAGACTTCCTCCAATGTGACAGCTGGTCTCTTCTAAGGGAAATAATGAACACAAGAGCTTGAATATTCATGAAGCCAACCTTTCTTTTATTACTGGAAGAAAAAAAAATACCGAGGCAAAATTCCTTCTCGACTATAGATGAACTCCGTACCAATCAGCACACTCAACTCAAAACAGGGGGAAAAGGCACTTACTTCCACAATCTTTATCTCGCGAACCACCGACATATCGGGTAATAATCAACGGAGAACAGAAAAAAAACTTGGCTCAACCGAACAAACAAAACTCCCTGCGTGACATTGCACTCCGATGGGGAGATGAAGAGAAGGCAGGGAGAAAAGCAAACGAATCATTGTGAGCCACCCTGTATTTGTATTCAAATGAGATCAACAACGAGAGGGGGGAAAAGAAGAACGATACGGACAGAGAAGAAACTCATCACAAAAATGTTCTCGAGATTTTCTAATAGGATAAAAACGAAAAATCATCTGATAGATATCAAAATAACGAGTAGTACAAAATATCTCTACAGGCAGAAGAAGTAGAGAGAAACTTTGGGCTTATGAATTTTTCTCTGTTCTTTGTACAAAATGTATCAGCTATTGTAAATAAATATCCACCTCGTGTGGCAGAAACATTCCACCTCACAAAATGCCCACTATCGCCACTGCCGAAAAAAAATTCCATGAGATCCCAAAGTGTCACCGAGAAGCAAAGACTATCTGTGAGATGGTGAGAGAAAAAAAAGTTCTTCAGTTGTTCCGAGGTGGGAAAAAATCTGAGATCTTTTTTCGTTTGTTGACCGTTTCCTCTTCAGGATCATCGGACGACGAACTCTTCCGCTTCTCCTCGTGCCTTTTCTCGCACCGATAGAAATCTGCAAAACAGAAAGAGGGAAATACTCCTTTTTAGTCCTCTCACATTCCACAGCGGACAATGGGGAGGGACGGAAACCGTTCCTCTTCTCAAAAAGGAAAAAGTGGGGTGTGGAGAACAGATGCCTACAGATAGACGGAAAAAGGGGGGAAAACTAGCGTTTTAAGAAAATGTGTGACCTGACCCCATTGTGAACTTCCTTTGACCACCTTGGGCACCTAACTGGACATTCTTTTGTGTCCAGGTAAATTCCATTTTCCTTTTCCACACTTACCCCTATTCTTCCGATCATTTAAAAAGCAATAGGAGAAAAAAAAGAAACCGGAAAGGAAGGTGTGCCCCCATTCCCGGCAATTATGGTATTTCGCCGTGCATGCATGAAGAAGGGGAAAAGGAAAAAGTCCTTCCCCTCTTCCTGTGACGTGCTTTATGAGAATCCTGAAAATTACGCGAAGCAGGCGAGGGCGACGAACTGGAACGTCGTGGGAGGAAGCTGGGGGGAGGGAGGGAAAAAAAAAGCCATGCTGCAGTTTTAGGGTCCTCCAGACGAGACAAAAGAGATATATTCCACGAGAAGGGACCAAACAAGTAAACATTGGTCGTGCCCCAAACAGCGATGACGGAAGGAGAAAGAAAAAAAAAAGGAAAAGGGAGGGCGAGAGTGAGTGACCTTTTTATGGGAATTCGCCCAAGGGCAGCGTGGAGATTGGAAGCGATTTTTTTCCTTCTCTTATCTGTGTTATTTTTTCTGGGTCTTCTCTTTCCCCTGGGTCTCAAATGTGCCAAGATTACACCCGATAAGTGACCGTGATTACAGGGTTCCATGATTGTGCCACCACCAAAATGACCTTTTTTTTGAAAGACGGCATTTTTCTTCTTCCTTCCGCTGTCTGTGTCGCGCTGGCACCTCCAGAAGAAACAGGAGGAATTTAAAACAGATAGGTCCACAGGACCAAGGAGGAGAGGAGTCACCTTGAACCTCGGGGATTTTTAAAAGACCCTGCTCTTTCCCCCCTTGTACTTTATACCTGGGAGGCATATCTCGTCCCGAGAGAAAAAAAAGGAGAGACCCCCTTGGGGGAAAATCGTGACGTCAACCTCCCCCCTTTTCTCTGCCCAGGTGGACTGGACAAACATGTCACGGATGCCCGATCTCCACCTCCACAATCATAAGTTTCTCTCATCAAAACACTAAGAACTGTGAATTCGTGATCTTCATCCATCTTCGTACAAGGCGTCTGAATTTGTTTCAATTGAATACCATGCTGTATTAGACTGGAGCAGATAAATCAAGGCATGGAAGAGATCTGGATATCCCGCATCCCTGAGACCAGTTACCCCGGGGCTGCCATGCAAGCAGGCGAGGGGAGAAAACAACTTTAGGGTCATTTACCAGGGGGAAGAGGGAAAGAGGCAGTGATGCTGGTATGGGTAATAAAGGGAGAAGACGCAGAAGAAAAAGAAAGGGGTAAGGCACCTCCCTCGAGGGGGGAAATGGAAAATACCCAATCTCCACACATCTGACCCTGGGTAACGTGACTCCCATGCTAATAACCGGGTTTCCCCCCCCCCCCCCTTCTCCTTCCATATACAACACACACCTGGGCACGAGTGAGGGGAAGAAAAAAAAACAAGTCACTCACTCCCGATAATTGAATCTGTTTTTTTTTTTCCCAATACCTTTACAGAGACTCAAGGGAGAGAGACTAAGGAGATCCCGGGAACCGGGTTCTGGGAATGACCGGGTTTTTATTGACCGGGGGGGGGGGGGAGAGGGAGAGAATGACTAATCCAGGCTTTTATTACAGTGTAATCCACCTGGGACAGAGGAGAGGACACAAAAGGAGGGAAAGGATTAATAGGGGCTGCGTAATTTGGTTGGCAGGGAAGCCCACAATCCGACGGCTGATTAACCACGGTTAATTCCCTCCAAGTCCTTCTCTCCTTTTTCTATGCAATGTGACCCTGCTGAGCCACCCAAGGTTTTTGTTGTCCCGTTTTTTTTTCCTTTCTTCCTATTCCCTTTTTGCAGGGCAAGGATGACTATTCAATGAAGCCTTTTTTGTGTTATTGCCTCGGCAGGGGAGGGAGAAGGAGGGGTCTCTTCATTTTTTATGACGCACACGTACTCTCTCTCTCCTCTGCTTCTTATTCTTCTTTGGTTCCCGGCCTTGACGGAGCGCATTCACCTCAAGAAACTCTCTGCTCATCTTCGGATGGATTTACGTCGTCTTCCTCGTTCCTCGCATCCAATTACTCCCTTACCTCGTCGTCCAACATCATTGAATCCGATTTTATGCAGACAAACAACGTCCTTGATATCCTATTTGTATATTGCATAAATGGTCACCCTGGCTTATAAAAAATTAATATAAAAAACGACTTCCAGCATTATAAGAGAATAATTGGACATTATGGATGAGAACTAAAAAAAAAATACCTCCAATTATCCTCACCAAGGGAGATTGAACCGCGATAGGAGTGGTTTTGAAGGCTTGGCCAGGGTCAGGGGTCGCCGAGGTCGCATTCCTCGCAAGAAATCCCCCATCTCACGGCAGGGGCAAGTAGAAAAAGGAGGGAAAAAAAGGGGGATGGGGAACCCTCATCCCATCCCAAGGCTCACATGCAAATGAGGGCGGCTTTTTTGTGATCTCACCGAGACCGTCAATCATTTTTTGCTGGGCTTTTTTTTGCACTGGACTCAGGGGTCGCAGGAGAAGATAGAGGCGAGGTTTGACAAGCAGGAAGAGTAATGGGTTGAGCGTGATTGAAGATCTTTCGCATGTGCAAATGAGCTGCCACCATATAGATTCACAACCAGGGAGAGGGACAGAAAGAGAAAAAAAAGGACGAGCGTTAATGATCCAGAGAGAGAGATCGAAATAGAGATTCGAAGGGGCAGGGTCGTTACAATAATAAGATTGGGAGGCCAAGCCCACACTGTTTGGGGAGAAATCTAATGGACTCTTGAGAGAGACCAAAGGAGTCTTGGTCTGCTTCGTCTCAAAAGAGTGGTGGATGTCGTGAAAAGATGCAGCGTGCCACTTGACGAAAGGATGAGTTATGGCGAGACTCTGGCATACAAAGACCCCAAAATACCCAGCCAGGGGTTTCTTATTTACGGTCAGTCCAAAGGCTCTCTCTTTTTGACCAGGTTACACATCTACCCACACAGACACGCACACAAACCCCATGGTGCCCAGATGCCTGCTGGAGCCTGTCCCTGGTGCTCTACCGTCGTCTGCCTCTGATAAAAATCTCCCTTTTTCTTTCTCCCCTCGGTGGAATAATGAACGGGGTCTCCTTGTTTTCTCTCATTCTCTCTGTCGCAACAGATGAAGATCTCGGTCAAGACGCCCTTCTTTTTCTTCTTATCGGTTTCCCGGGAAATCCGTCTTTGCGGAAATGCGTCCCCTCGGGCCATAATTTTCCCCGTGACTGAGTCCTAGGTCGCGGCGTATTTACTACACACGCCTACTACACTCCACCGAGTAACGTTAGATCGAAGGGAAAGATTCTGAGTCCGATGACCTCAGCTCCCAGGACAGATAGTAGTAGGCGTTAGCAAGTGAGATTCAACCACCATATCTCTCACAGTCGAAACAGGACTGATATCGGTTTAAACGCAACTCGCTAGAACTAACTCAAGAACGCTCCTCAGACATACGCATGTACGCCGGTTCGCAATATGGGGGTGCAACGCAAAAAAAAAAAATGAACTGAACCACTAATAAGGGGTATAGGCGCACCGGGTCAGATCACACATTCAATATACGCTTTGAAAGCCTTTCCTTGCCTGAAATACGACTGACTTTAGCACAAAGTATATAAGCCTACATGAGAGATTCATCATAGGCCTACGCTTGATGCCGAGTCGGCGAGATGCTGACCTGTAATAGAGGTTTGTTTGGGCGAAGGAGGCCGGTGACCGGACGACGACGTTGTGGAGGACGAAGAGGAGGGTGAAAGAAAGAAATCCTGTCTCACACGGGACAGGGCATCACAGTCCTCGCGGCTGGAGTAGTTTGGTCGCAGTCGGAGCCGCCCGATGTATATGATGTTGCGTTTCATAGCCGACGGCTCTTCCACAGGAGTCCAATCCACATTACCCTTCCCGGGCAGGGGCTTTTCGGCAGTGAAGTCAAAGTCCCACTTGCAACGACTCTCGTCGTCCACACGCGTCAGTTGATGGACGAGGAGTTCCCTCGTCTCCGCGTGATTCACCGGGCCGAACAGACAACGACACACGGGGGAACTCGGGTCCACGACCGCACGTTCCCGATGATAGGGACCGGGCCTCTCGGCCGGCAACGGAAGATTTTGCACGTTCAACATGATTCCATCGAAGGATCTCGAGAGAAACCACGTGGTCCGGGGAAGGAACCGAATTCAGCAAGCGCAATCCGCTCCGTCTGGAAGTCCGACAGCGACTAGCTTCTCGCAGCCGAGCTCAGCCAGAGACTATGCAGAGGGGCTGCAAGTCCGGGAGAATAGAGAAGTGATCGGGCCCAGATTCCTCGGGCCGCAATGTACTACAGATACAGGAAAGAGGACCCCGCGGGCCGACCCGCTTCCACTTCTACCTGAGCTAAAGCCGGCCGGGGTTTCCAAGCAGGCCCGGGCCTGTGCGAGCTCACGCACACACGCACGCACGTTACTCTAACTCGTCAACCCCTTCCAACGTACGAGACTACATGGAGGCTCTTATGGAACGCCGCAAACGGACTCTAATGCAGATGCTCTTCGTCAAGTCACGTGCACCGTCAGGATTAATATGCCTCATCTGCCCTCGTTTCGTGATTCATGTTACATTCTTCAGACATAATCAAGTACTAAACTCCACCCTTCATCCTATTGAGTATCGCTGAAGAGGGTAAAGTGTGCTTCGGCAAGGGTGTATACAGTAACGTTATCATTGCCTATAGATTTGAAGCATTCTTAGCTTCAAGTGGGCTTCACACGTGGCTCCTGAATCCCTCACGGGCAGGCTCATACACACCGGAATTCTAAGCCTTCCAATGACCCCCCACTGCTCCCATGATTAGAATTAAACTGGTTTCATTTTTGGACAGAGGGCTACTATACAAGTTCACCCAGGGAAACGAAGCCGAGAGCGGCAGATTTTCAAAGGAGTTATTTTGAGTCGTTCGGTTCATAGGTCGGCGAAGGTGGCGGCTCCTCTCTCACGTGACACGCTCCCATACTTATGCCCTACAAAGGATTCCATGGAGGACTCCCGTCTCCCGCCTCACACATTCCCAACAGATGAGGATCACGATGCCCACCATATGAGGTCAAAGGAAAGATCCGACTCTCTCATTTACCTTGCAGGAACATGCGAAGGCGGCTATCGTTGAAAGAGGGCGAAAACTCGCTATGTTTTGCGTAGGCATATTTGAGCATGCACGATAGGAAAAGATCTGAAGGAGTAAACCAATATATGTTTAAGTCAGCTGTTAATTCGTATCGACGGTTCACACCAGGTGGGATCTAGAAATCCCTCCAGTTTATAAAATCCGGGTCGTAAACTGATAAGCTCTCTCTACCGTCCAGATGCACTTAAGAGCCGATAGGTGAATATAAGGGAAAATCCTGAAATTTACAGTCCAGGAAGTCGGCCCCCCTCATCCATCAAGCTTTCTTGGTATCTCGCATTTGATCTGGAATCGACTGAGTGAGACCGAGACCAGGGTGCTTCAGGTTATTTCAGGATACCCCTTCCCTTTCCCTGTTCAAGGGCCATAAAATCTGTGCTCTCAATCAATGCAGTTGACAGGCGCTAATCCACTTTATGGAGGTCGTAGAGGCGGCAGCGGAAGCCACTGCACAACTGAAATACAAACTTAGACACAAGAGATAAGAAATAAGAAACCTAACGACTTTACTTTCCCCAAGGAGAGACTTACTACTGAAGCTACGAACTTTGAAAAGGGACATTTTCGACATGATAACCTAAAAAAAAATGGGAATACCAGTTCCGGCGACCACGGCGCCACCTTCCGGGCGACATTCGAAGCACGGCTTTCACAGCATTCACTAGATGTCGCGAGTAGATCAAGGATGCGGCCAAATATTTCGTCAGGGGAATCTCGAATTTCGCGTAGTCTATTGTATAAACTATACACGAATGTAAAAGCCGAGTTCGAAGATAAGAGGCCAAAGTCTTACGCACGATTTAGTCGATGAAGCCTCTCAGGTAGAGCAAATGAGCTGGGAAGGCAAACTTTCCGTTCACTCAATTTATGACGGGATGTTGATCCACGCACGGAGGTGGAAGGGGGGGGGGAGGGGAGGGGAGGGGGAGGGGGGGGGGGGGGGGGGGGGGACCGTGAGGAAAACAGCGTTGCTCTCTTCCATCTTAGACCGGGTGGGGGGGGGGGGGGGGGGGGGGGGGGGGGGGGGGTAGGAGGACCGTGAGGAAAACAGCGTTGCTCTCTTCCATCTTAGACCGAGAGAGCCTCCAGCTTCCTTCCCGAATTCTCTGGAAGGAAGTAAGAAAAAAATGTATTTTCTCCGTCCAAACAAAAGCTTCTGAGGGGGAGGAAGCGGCAAGGGGTTCTCTCTTTCACATATATTTCCTCTCTTTCCTCGCGTTCTTTCGGTTCCCGCCTTGATAACGTGGATCTCAGAAGGAAACAAGGGATTTGGCGATCCAGCTGAGAAAACATGACCAATATCGGCTCTATCGCCAATACAAACACGCCATGAAAATGAATCACGCCGAGAACAAATTCAAACAAAGGTACCAAGCGGGCATTGAAATAAAAAAAAGTGCCGTGGGAACATCTGCAGACCCCCCAAAAGTAACCCGGATTTATCCTTTCTAACCCTTCGGAATCTGGACCTCCGAGTCGTGGGATCCGAAAATGAAGAAGCAAATATTCGGAGAAATAAATCATGCTTCAAACGGACAGGAGGGGAGGGGCAACGGAGAAGGCAGAAAACACGAAAAGTGGGTGGCGATGGAATCCCGGCATTTTTAGTATAAGAGAAGCCGACACCTTAATGGAGAAGCCCATTTTGGCTAATGAGACGAGGCGAAAAGGGAGGCCGCGGCCTTTCCCCCCCAGACAGCTTGGGACCGACGCTTTTTTTTTTCTTTTTTCTCCCTTTCTTTCTGCTCCTCCGCCCTCACCTGAAGTGATTTTGGGGTAGAATCCCCGTCATTGTAGTCCGAGAAAAATTCCTTTGTCCTCGGAAAGGGAGGATACCTCGTGGATGGAGCACTGAACCCGTGAGACTGCCTGGCGCTTCCTTTCGGGGGTCTGACTCACAAAGTCGGCAAAATCCACGATAAAAGGGAAAGAAAAACACTCGGCTGTATGTGTGCATTGCTGCGATCTATCACGAAAGTCTCGATGCTCGAACGAGATGAAAAAAAAATATATATATATAAAATCCCACACGTGAAGAATGACGAGTACGACACGGTTTCCTGCATAAATGTAAACAAAGCCACACCTGAATACTTCCCTCGGTTTCCGATTACCAATTACGACGTAGGTCTCTCATTTCACTGAATGCATCGGAGGGGTCACGATGGGCAACGATCCAAAAGGAATCCCGTAAGCATTCCTGGGACTGCACTCGTTCCGGGCTTTCGGTTCTTCATTAAGTCGTCAGCGGCATGAAAAAGAAATGGAAGCATCTTTCTTACGTGCCTTCATGCACGTCTCTGGGTTGCTGCTTACATTTGTAAATGCTGCTGCCATTTTCCGGGAGAGGCAAAAATAATTTTTTTCTTTCAGAAAAGGAAAGGGTCTCCTGATGTCCCTCTAGCATCTGCGAAAATTGGTATACCGGCACATATGGGCAAGATGCTGGCCAAGTTCGTTGAAGGTGTCATTCACACCAAAACAGAACAAACAACACTTTTTTTTTCGAAAGTACTGAATTTTCGCGCGCATCTGTGCGTATAATAAATCTTTTGTCAGTTGTCGATGAGGACACTGAAATTATTCCTCGAAACTGGCAAGAATTTTTTTGCTTAGTAAGTCATTTCCCTTCTCCATGCTTACTGATGTTATAGTCACCGTTTTCAGCAAAAGGCTGCACCGGGAATGTAACAAAGAGTTGCGATCAACTCCTGGGATTCAGGAGAATATTATAAGAGGGCTGACTTTTCAATGAGGAAGTTCCCGAAAAGCCAAATTGACCACATGCCCAGAGGCAGACTGGTAATCTTGGTCAATTTCCGATGTCCATGCAAATTGAGTCTTAAGTGGCATTAAATGCGACATAAAATTCAATAACCTCCCAGCAAGGGGGCATTGTTTGAGAGTCTCACCCATCTGTTCGTATACGGAGGAATCATCAAAGGAAGACCGTGTCCATAGATTTAGGAGAGAGTTTAATGAGATAAGCGGCAATTAAGAGAATCACATAAAGACGTTCATTGCTGAAGCCAAAACAATGAATATATTG